CTACTCATTAGGCAAGTTAAGCTCTACCTCTCTTTCTGTAGGTTGGACATCATTCAGAAATGGAGCCACCCATAGTAGCTGCAGCTTGGGTAGCCTCTTTTATATTCTAGGTGACGAGGTATCCACTCCTGACCCCACAACTCTCTAAAGAGTTTTGTCTTCATCTGGACCTTAGCCTTGACCTTTGCCTATGACATAGCCAAACTCCCTTCAGTCAAATTCATTAACCCAAGGCTAAGTACTGCAGAAAACCCCCTCATCTCCTCTGTGCCTGCTGACTTGTTATAAGAAGTTAGGTTTGTAAAGATTTGTTATTAAGTAGATACTGTATTTTCATGTAGCACTTTTTGGTATTATGTCATATTAATATAACTTTGTATTCAGTGGTGACCTGCAAAATAATTAACATTCAATTTCGCATGAGCATTGACCAATCATGTTGGAAGACTGATCCATCAGCATGCATACTCGAATAGTCAAAATGGACATCCAACACTCAGAATGGATGCTTGATATATCAGAATCAAGATCCAGAGACAACCGATCAGAATGCAAACTGGCCCATTAGAATAAGTGTAATATAGACTAGCCAAATATCTGTCTTTCACCTCTCATGAGCTTTTCATTGGTGGTTTCTCACCTCAACAAGTTGGGAAGGAAACAGAGGGCAGAGAGCGCATGAAAAAAATCTCCTCATAAGTATAATGGACCAGGCGAGAAAATAACAAAAATAATGAACAACCATATACCAGGGACATTCTGTGGGGGCGGAGTGGGGAATGGGATCAAAAACGGGGGGGAAATGCACAGGACTATGGTGGTGACACAGGGGTGATTTGGTGATGGGAAACCCGAGGGGATTACAATCGAGATGGAAAAAAAAATGTGCAAAATGATGTAAAAATAAACTTTGTAATAAAAAAAGTAAAAAATAATAATAATAAAATAAAATAAAATAAAAATAAAAATAAATAAATAAATAAAGGGAAAAAAAATCTCCTCATATTTTCCAGGTGGCCTTGCTAAGCTGGTTTCATAGTGTGAGCTTAATGAATATTTGTTTGAGTGGGCATTATTCACCCAGTGATTGCTTAGGAAACATCAGTGGGCGGAAAGAATACAGTTTGTCCTTCTCTGATGAAGATAATTATAGAATTATCCCACTGGAATATCATTAAATACCATGTTTTTGGATGACATGCAGGTGATAAGAAAAATTGGTATTTATCACTGAATGTAATCTGTACAATCTTGAGACATAGTATATAATCATACTGATTTCTTAAACACAACAGTGAATAGTATACTTACAAGATGGATAACATAAAAATATAAGGTACAGTACAACCAGAACAGTATTGAGGCCAAAAATATATAGGTCCTGTAGTGAATAATAGACGGAAGGTGGCCCAGGTATCTTTAAAATAGGCTGCTGCCCGGGTAATTAGATGAGCATGCATTCATTTGATAACTGAGCACCTACCACATGTCAGGTATCTTGCTATGTATGTTGGGAACAGTATGAAATTAGTCATATCCCATTCGTCAAAGGGCTCAAGTTTTAAGGGTGAACACAAAGAAGTATACAGACAATTAGATTACAGAGAGAGAACTTATTTGACATCTGAGTCATCAGTCAGTGAAAATAACCACTATGAAGGACATCTTTGTAGCCCACCAGGACAGCTGTGCTCAACAGATGGCAGAGAACCAAAACTCACGAGTGGCTGGACAGAAGCATCAACACAAATGGGTGCAGACCATTACCAGACAAAACTCTGCCCCTAAATTTTCACAACCACATAAGCACTTGAATTCTTATAGGATACAATTAAGGGGAGGGAAAGTCGCAGTAATAATTGATATTAGTTTTGCCAGCTAGTCAAATTTAATTTCATTTCAGCAATTAAGAAAGGTGACATTTCTTGCTTTCTAGTGCCATGAAGCAGTTTGAATCAATTTGAAAAAAAGTATGTGAATTAATTTGAAATTTGCCAGAAGAACACACAGACCCTCAAGGATATGTTTTCAGATTTTTGGGCAGGGGAGGGGGAACTTTTCACCTCCAAGATAAGCAAACTACTGTGAGAGGTGAATAATAACCTTGGAGTTGTGCAGCAAGACAGTCCTGTTTGCCCTTTACCATAATGAAAGCCAGTCTGAGAACAACGTGAACATACAGAGGAGGGCAGCAACAAGAGAATAAGGGAAGATGAATGAAAGCTCTGACCAAAACCAGTCTGAAGCTACCAAAGCCCTCATGCCAGACAGACCTCTTTTCTACATCATGGCCCCACCTCGTTAGAAAATTCACAAGGAATAATTCACCAGATCAAGCCTGGTTGCATACCCAGGAGGAGTAAAGCTCACAGCTACCTTGGGGATGAAATGGCTTCTCAAAAAGCAAGATGATCACTAGTCTGACAACCATAGAGAGTAAATTCCTTGGTCAGCAAGATATCTGTAAGTCCAGCTGCCATTTGTCTGTTCACCTTATAGACTTCATTGGACTAGCTCTACATTGGTGTAGTGTTTGCAAGGTGGGTTTGGGCAACTGGCAGGCAAAATATTTATACAGTTGCCTTAGAACATGGTAACATGGATTTTTAGAGGTTCACTGAGGCCACTTGGAGAAAGTGGCACCCAACAAACTGTTACTTGCAGCTCTACAAATATTTTTTTTTGTCTTTTGAGCAAAGTGCCACAAAAAAAACATATTTCTAAGTAACATATTGTTGTAATATATATGAAAATTAATAATACATGAAAGGAATAAATTGGATTCTTCTTGAAGTAGTGTCACTATATCAAAGTGTTTAAATGGTGCACAGAGCTACCAGTATTATATAAAAGTAAAGAAAAAGTCCCAGTTTTATATAAAAGTAGAGAAAAACCAGGGAAGTAAAAATAAGACTGTATTTTTTTCCCATTCCCATCAGTTAGCAATATGTTCCTAAGGAAAACTAGGGACTTTAAAATACCTAACTCTAGCTTCTCTTTGGGTTCTTTACCACATTGGTGAGCTCTCATTCATAGGGAAAATGAATGCCAGCACTTGCATGCAGATAATGGGGAGGAAAAGATATTTTAAGTATACATTTCATAAAAGAAAGACGTTCCACTGGTCTTTGAAGATTTGGTTTCTTTTCCAGATGAAGATGAAAGTACAGACAGGAGATGTACATACTTATTCAGCCCTGGCTCAGACCAAGTTCACAGACTTATCTAAGACTGTCTGGGGTAAGGAAGCTTGGCCTGTGCCAGAGGGCAAAAATCCCCCTTCATTGGGAAACTGACTTTGACCTCCTTAGAGCTTTATTCCTATCCAGTGGGCCCTGAATTACACATTAGATTAACAACTATTCTTTGGGTACTGAATGATCAATAAGAGCAAGTTAATGAAGCATTTTATCTTCTTTTCATATAAAAGGTACCAGGGCTAACTGAACCTTCTGCCGCACGACTAACAATGGAGTATCACTGGTATAAGACAGGAAGTCACAAGATACTCAAGATGCATTTAGAGAAGCCTGCTGTCTTGTTCAACTGAGTTTTGTGTTGAGTCCACTGGTTCCTTTAACAACTTCCTGTAATCTTCCAGAGGGTATTTCCTTACAGCTGAAATAATGCCTAGGCTCGTGGTTCTCAACTATCTTAAGGCCAGAATCCCTTTAGTCTCTTAAAATTTATAGAGCATCCTAGAGCTTTTTTCATGTGCCACCTCTGCTTATATTAAACATATTAGAAATTTAAATTCAGAATGAAGAAGATGTGAGAGACAGATTGTCTAGAGTGGATAAGCTTCAGGTCACAGACCTCCTTAGCTGTTCCCCTGCCCTTCTGCTTCACCTGAGACAGTAAACTCTCTTTCAAAGCACTTAGTCTGGTTGGATTCCTGCCAGTAGAGAATCAAAGAGACCTGAACAATACATCACCAAACAATTAAATATTCTAAAACAGGAAATGATAAAGGATTAACTTGAATAAAGCAATGCTGTTGCCCTCCCTTCATCTGTCATCCATGAAGTGAGAGCTTACTGACAATTGGAGAAGGTAACCATCACTATAACATGTCTACAATACTTTGCATGACATTTAATATCTCACTTAATTTTCACTACAGTTCTATAAAACCGTTTATTTTACAGATGCAAAAAATGAGGCGCAAAGTCTGTATGTGATAAAGTAGCAGATTCAACACAAAAATTCAAGTCTTATTCTCTAAATTCCCATGATCCTAGTTCTTGCCTCAAATGAAGCTTGTAATTATAGAGTATAGATCTGTAGCACAAATCTTATGTTTACCATTCCCTAATTGTTCATCCAGTCTGAACAATTAGTTGAGCAGTGTGCATAGCACATCCTCTAAAATACTCATTGTACTTGATTGACTCTGATTAAGGGTGGGGTTCAAGTTAGCAAGGCACTCGTTCTTTCTGAGCTCTGTAAGTGAGGGGCTGCGAGAGGGGACTTAGAGGCGGTGTTGGGCAGGCACTGGAGCAGACGCCAGATAACGCACTCTGCAGATAATCCAAAGGCTCGTTACAGAAGCATGGAGAGAAGAAAGCATCTCTCCCCAAGTGCCGGCGGAAGAAATGTGGGAACCGAGGGGCTCAAATTCCGAAGTCCTGGATTTGAAAGGCGCCTGCACACAAAGGAACGACCGCGTGAAGTTCAGGCGGTGCGACACGCAGAATTCGAAACCCGGGCAAATCTTCCCAGCTCGAGTGGAGAAGCACAGTCCAACGGGCCACCCAGCCCGAAGCATCTTTTATCAGCTGGGGCCGTCCGGACAGCCCGCGCGGGGCACGCCCGAGGCTCCTGGAAGGAACTCTAAGTCCCATGAAGCGCTGGGGCGCGGGCGGTGATGACAAAGCCCCAGCGGATTGGCCGCGCGGGGCGGGGCGCGCAGGCCTTCTCAGAGGGAAGGGGCGGGACGTGGGGCGGGGCGAGTGGCGGCGGCTGGGCGGGCACGCCCCCTCACCCGCGGCCCCCTCCCCTCCTCTCTCCGCCGCTCCGCTCGCTTGCCGGTCAGAGGGCCGGAGCGAGAAGATGGCGAAGACCTACGATTATCTGTTCAAGCTGCTGCTGATCGGAGACTCGGGGGTGGGCAAAACCTGCCTCCTATTCCGCTTCTCCGAGGACGCCTTCAACACCACCTTCATCTCTACCATCGGTGAGGGAGGGACCGCCACCAAGGGACTGGGAGTGAGAAAAGGGGGGGGGGGGGGGGCAAGGGGGCTGCGGAGAGGGCGGGGGAGGGCTTGGGAGCTCCTGGGAGGGAACCCCGGGGACGGCGGGGCGGCGAGGGCACTGGGAGAGGGTGAAGGCTTGAGGGAGGGGAGCGGACGGGTACTAAAGGCTGGGAGTGAAGAGGGATCTTGGGGGCAAAGGAACGGGAAGGAGACTCTGGAACAAGGGCTAGGGATTTGGAGAAACAAGAGGGTTGGGGTGGTGACAGGGAGGGTTCTTAGAGGGACAAAGTGAGGGGACGCAGGAAATCTCGTGGAGAAGGGGACGGTGGGTGTGAATGGATTCAAAGGCAGAAAAGAGGAAGGAAATGTAAAGGGAGAATTGAAGGGTTGGGGGAATAGGAGGGAGGTGAAGTCAAGAGACAGAGGACACTAGGGACGAGAGAGGTGAGAACCCAACAATCGGTAGGAATTCAAAGAAATGCGTGATCAGGAGGTGAGGGGCACTGGCCACAAGAGGTGTGGAGAGATGTCGAGGGAGGAGGGCAGAAGAAATTTGTGGGAGAAAGAGTTCAAGGGACCAGAGGAGGAAATGTGGAGACTTCGTGGAGAAAGTAAAGGAGAGCTGGGTGTGAGGCAGAAAGGAAAAGGAGAAGCAGAATTACAGAAGAGAATGTAAGCAAGCCAAGACAGAGAAGATGGAAAGGGAGAGGAAATGGAAAGCAGTACTTTCTCCAGTAACTGGGAGCTCTGGTTACCATTTTCTCTCTTGACTTCCTTTGGGTCATGTGCCGGAGAAAGAGCAAAAAGTGACTAATGATGGCATAATGTCCATGGAGCATTAAAATTTTCTGTGACTGTTAATGGGTGTTAAGAGAATTGATGACTTTCGGGAGTGGTATGGTTGGGAAAATATATTTATTTTACCACCATCTCTTGAGAAGGGACATTTATCAGTTTTCTAAATTCTTGTGTTTGATTGTTTAATAACTTGTCAGCTGAAGAACTGATGGTACATTCTGCTGGCTTCTCTGTATATATTGCTTTGGTTTTTATTATTACTTGGTAAATGAATCACACCATGTAATACACCCTCCAATTATTTTCAGTTGATTCAGGATATTTTCTGATCTTGCCTGGGAGCTGTCCTTATACTTTTCTACTGGACGATTTTGTGCTCAGGTAACAAGATCTCTAATTAACCATAAAGTGAAGAGCAACTCAAGGATAGTTTTAGGCAGCTTAAACAAGTGACCATACATCCTTTTCTCTTGTTACGGCAGTTAAATACATTACAGAATCTTAGCTTTGGTTGTCTGGATGATATTTGTGGCTTCTAATAGTAGCACATTTAACCATCTTTCAAATAATCCTTACAGCACATTTCACTACGAATTTTAATCATTGGGAATATTAAAGGTGCACATGCGATAGTAAGTGTATTTGAGTATTTTAAGGATAATTCATCTTTTTTGAAAAAAAATATGTTTGGGTATAGTGCACTCTCCACATCAAGTACTAGGAAAGGCTATCATTTAGTTGTTCCAGCCTCTTTCATATGGATTGAGTGGTCTGGGTATGATGATGATCTGTACTTAGGGAAGTTTGAGTTGCAAGTTCTTGGCAATCAGTTTGAGTGGGGCTTTCTCTTTTCTGAGGAAGCAGACTTTAAATGTCATGCCTCAAGTATATTCCTATGAGATTTGGTGGTAGCTGTTACAGCAACTAAAGAGCATTAATTTTTGATGCTGGTACTAATTTCAGGACTCCCCCCACCCTTGCTCATTGTTGAGTGCATTTTGTTGCATAGATGATAAAGGACAAATTCTGACAGGTTGAGTGGGTAGCCTTCAATGTTACCCTTCCAGAAGTATTCCCTTGCTTTGAAAGTGTGTGAATCTCAATGACGCTGTTTCTGTTAAGCTCCTTTGGATGGCTTTTGCTTGTTTGTAATAGTTTTATTAGTTTTCTCTCTTTTTTAAACTTAATTTTTGTCCACATTTCCTGTAAGGGTGTCTACTTCCTTTTACAATAGTAGCTCTAAATTTTTTTTTTCACTCTGAGATATTACACTTTTTATATGTGGATTTTTTTCTTTTTTTTTAATGATTAAAATTCACTTTTTGGAGGATGCAGCTATTAAGACATAGACATGTGAACTTTAAAATAGGAGGTAGACATTAAATGGGGGTGAATCTCATATGTGATCTTGGTCTTTCTATTTTCTGTGGGGGTGGATGTGGTAAAAAGGAGGCTGTAAACTTGTCTTCAGTTGATATGGAGGAGGGGAAATCCCATGCTTCCTACTTAGTAGCCCCTGAACTGACAGGAAGTGGTCGCATACTACTTTCAAACAACAGAATTTATCTACCTTAACTTGAATGCTTTGCACTTGAAACTAAGCTAGGAAAATAAAGTGAGTGTAATACAGTCCTGGTGAAAGTTCCACAGTTCTTCACTAATCACAAACATGGGCTTGTAGTTCCATATCTATAGCAGCTATGTTTACTTCCCTTCCCCCAAGATCTCACCCCCCACCCCCCCAGCTCTGGGTTATTTGAAGTTGTTGAAGTGACAGTAGGTGGTCCATAAGCATTTCTTCTACTACCTAGGTGTGTAAATTCTTGTACTTTCCCACTGGGTTTGACAAGGTGTGCCACTGCACGGCTGTCAAAACTAGATAAGGTCTAGTCACAGGAAAGGTCCATTTTTTAATCCCTGGGGTTTGTGTGCATGTGTTTGTTAGATATGTAGATGTGCCTGTTTTCTTCCCATACAGATGCGTTTTTACGTTTTAATTTTGCTTAATCAAAGTTTAAGTAGTTTTTAAAAGGGGCATTAGTCAGTTTCAGATGGCGTTATGATAGAGGTTCTACATCAGAAAAGGAAGAAGACAATTAGTCATTTCAATTACAGATCTTACATTGTTCTCAGATGCTTTCTTCTCTGTTCTTTAAGGTTCTCCCATCTTCTCTGATATCCCTGCCTCTCATTACCTTTCTGTTCTTTTATTTTTTTTTTAAGATTTATTTATTCATTCATACAGAACTGTGGTATAGGCCAGAGATGCGGAGAGTGAGAGGATTCACCAGAGACAGTGGGGAGCAGAACTGGCAGATCGAGGAAGTACACTGCTGAGGGGAGCAGCGGGCGGGTCAGGAGAGGTCTGCCCTGCCTTGTGGATCACCTCCGGGGCAGGCGGAGATCGAACTCATGCATAAGTGGCTTAAGCTTCTTAGTGCTGTGCTTTAACCCACTGCGCCACCAGGGAGGGCCACCTTTCTGTTCTTGTGGTGGAGAATGCATTTTCTTTTAAGTGACTTATTGGGAATTTCCCAGTGTATCAGTTAGATAATATCTGTTAACAATTGAGTGGTGTTATTGTATCCATGTGATATTATAATCCCAGTTCTAGTTTTCCCAACTTCTTACTTAATCATAATTAACATTTAATTGAGTGCCTAGAAAATGTAACATTAAGACAACTTGGAAATAATAGTTAGCTATATATTATATTTCTTATGAAACATGGTTGCATCTCAATAATGATAGAAGGGATAGTGATATCCCTTCTATCATTATCCATTCTAACATATCAAAATGGTCTGTATGGAGCAAGGGGCTGGCAGAACAAAAAGAAAATCCAGCCCTAACAGGACAACTTAAGCGTCTTCCCTTTACTGTCTCTCTCCTCTGCCCTGCCCCCCTTCTTCCTGTTAGGGTATTTCCTGAGTGGTTTCATTATTTAGTATAGTCATCCTTTGACAGCGGAAAGAGACTTGGAAATCATATACTTTATGCCCCTACCTCAGTTTTATAAATGAGGAAACTAAGGGCTCAGTTGTCAAGATCACACGGCTGGTTGTAGCTGAGCCGCTTGTGAGCCATCAAATCCAAGTCCCCGTCACTTTTCGCAGTTGAGCTGCTGCTGTTTCTAATTAGTGCACTCATCTCCATCAGCTTAACTCACTACCTTTTCCAGGGGGGATTTAGATTTTGCGCACACGCTTTTAGGTAAGGAAAGTGAAGACGCTCCCACTTTGGTTAGTGAAATCTGTTCAGGGAAATAGTAAATGCTAAAACGTGACTCAGAGTCCTACAGGATCTTATACTGGGATATCGCAGCATATTATAGTTGTCCTTTGCCCTTTTTTTCCCTGTCAGTAGTTTCAGGTTAGGAGATCAGAGTGCATCCTATTATTAGAATTCCTTCTAGGTACAGATAACTACTGTAATAGCATCACGCTGTTAACTATTGCAGACTAATCCATCAGAACTCTTTGCAATGTTTTATTTTGTGTCTTTCCATATTTTTCTTGAATTCAGTTTCTTTAAAATTGGAGGTTGCAAATTATGACACACAGGCTGAATGTAGCCACTAGTAGCCTGTGTTCTTGTTGTCCACAAGCTAAAAATGGTTCTCTCATTTATAAGAGTTATTTAAAAACAAAACAAAGAATATGCAACAGAGATCATACATGTCCCACAAAACTTAAAAATATTTACTCAGTGGTCCTTAAAGAAAAAATTTGCTGACCCCAATTAAAATTAAATACTGTTTTTGGTTGGTAGGAATTTAGGCTTTTATCAAAATTGATTGAAAAACAAACTTAGTCATATTTACATTTTTTAATCCAAGATGGTATCAACATTTGGCTGAACATGATCCAGATATGTAGAGCAAGTTGATTTTAATTTTCATAGTTGTTCTGCTTGCTTTCAACCTCTCAAACAAAAATGTGCAAGACACACAGCATTTCCCATTGAACATTTTGTACATAAAGCCATATATATATTTTTTTAGTTTTATAACAGTTTATTTTTACATCATTTTGTACATTTTTTCCCCCATCTCAATTGTATCGGGTTTCCCATCACCAACACCAAGTCACCCATGTGCCATCACCATAATTCCGTGCACTTCCCTACCCCCCCTCCCCGTTTTTGATCCATTCCCCACTCCACCCCCACAAAATGTCTCTGG